CATCACACAAACCTCACCAGAGAAAAATCTAGATCAGAAGAAATGAACACCGTAGAGCATTTGCTCGACCACCGAAAAATCCATTTAGTGAACTAGAAAAGCTTGAAAAATCATCAACCAAAGGTGGTGGTCAGCACGCTATAGAATCAGGCCACAAAATTGATTTTGACGATATTGAAATCATCATCCAGATAAATTTCAGGAATCACAAAGAACGTCTGATATCATCAAAAGCACTTCATATCAAGTGGAATCCAAATTGTCTCAAATGAATAGGAATGATGGACTAAAACAGAATTTGACCTGGTCACAACACCTCCCTCCTCCACGAAATGATGAAATTAACACGAATGTGATAAGCAATTTCATAATGTAAACACACGCTGTTTTTATGATTTCATACACTTGTCAAATCCAACAATCTACACCTGATTTTGTTATCTTTACCAATTGGCCAATTTGACAACGAAAAATAACCCCATGCTGAGGATCGATGATTAATTTGTTATTTATATAAGCTGAGTGGATTTTGTAAATTCTGGTTTAATATTACTACTTTGATAAAGCTATTAGCATTCGCTTGAAGCGCGATATTCTAATGAGAACGTTAAGGAATTTCAAAAAAACAGTAAAGGCGAATATCGAATTACAGCGCATAGGAAGAGTTGTATCACTCATTCATTGACCTGCTTATCTGACTGTATTCTCTCCCAGTAATTAAATTGTTAGCAGGCTCATCTCGAAAATTGTAGACCGTCAGTTAGTGATCTAATATAAAATCAATTCGCTTGAAAGATATCTACATTTCCTGTGACTACAAGCTAGCTCGCCTTGTAACCAGAAAGTCATGGGTTCGAGTCCTGGTGGTGGGTGCGTACTGATGAAGAGTTCCAAACTAGGCGGACGAAACAGCTGATTGTCCAGAACTTCCTGACAGATTGATTTTCCAATGGCTCTCTAACTGATGTCAGCTCATGAAGAAATCTTCCAACCAATCAAATGTAATCCATGGATATGTTTGGGTAGACTTCACTATTTCAATAATCAAGGTATTGAAATCACTAAATACTTGATCTGCTTGTCACACTATGAATAGACAATCCAGAAAACAAGTATGAAGCCGTATACTACTCATATCAATCAACTAGTAGTATGTGAAATTAATATCAGTTAAAAGTTTGAGCATTGTGGATTAGATCATTGTGTGTAAAACTATTGAAATATAATTATACTTTATTTGAGTATGTGAAATGTTTATGTCTCCATAAATAAACTTTTCTTTCCAACAGTGTCTAGCACATAGAAAATCATCTGAATGACCAACGAATACCATATCAACTTCGTGAAGTTTATAACGCCATTATTTATTTATTATTTAAATATTCTGTGTGTGTGTGTGAAAATCAATAAACTCAAACAAAGCACACCATTACTTTTCAATATATCCAATATAAATTATATTCCAGAGCTAATACATTGTAATAAAATTTAAAACAGACTGAAATTGTGATTTTATTCAACTTTTTTTTTATAATAAAGGTTTTCTTGTATTTCCCAATGAATGAATGAATGAAAAACAAAACGATATTGCTGTTTTTCCACAGCATGGGGTCACTTTTGCGTTGTCAAATTGGCCAATTGGTAAAGATAACAAAATCAGGTGTAGATTGTTGGATTTGACAAATGTATAAAATCATAAAAGCAGAGTGTATTTACATTATGAAATTGCTTATCACATTCGTGTTAATTTCATCATTTCGTGGAGGAGGGGGTGTTGTGACCAGGTCAAATTCTGTTTTAGTCCATCATTCCTATTCATTTGAGACAATTTGGATTCCACTTGATATGAAGTGCTTTTGATGATATCAGACGTTCTTTGTGATTTCTGAAATTTATCTGGATGGTGATTTCAATACTTATTGACGTCCTCAGAAGGAGAATTTCCACCTCTTTAGGAAGAACTTCCCCTGCGGCAACACTAAGAATAGTGTTCTCCAGTCGCCCGCTGATCTGCAGAAACCCAAAGGACAAGATTCCGCACATGACCACTTCTATGTGTATATATCAGTTCACCTGTTGCTGTGGAGCCAGGTACATCGGTCGTTCAGCGCGCATCCTGTCAAAAAGGGTCAAAGAACACTATCCAGCGTGGCTACAGAAAGGAAATAATGGCCATATAAGGAGTGCAATAATCGAACATCTCGTCAACACTGGTCATTCCATCTCAAAGAACGCCTCCTTCAAAGTAATCTACAAAGTGAAGAACAACCTTCCAAAGACAGTACGATTCCGTCTTCTTTGCATCACAGAAGCCCTAGCCATCCAGTTGGTGGAACCAGAACTATGCATACAAAAAAAATTATCCAACCACTTCTACTCGCATGGTAACAACTCCGTTGATTTGACCTAACTTTTTTTTGTTTGTTTGATTTGACCTTACTTCTGTTTGTATGCTTATTTTTCTAACTTAAAACCCTTGTGTAATTCTGTATATTATTTTGTTTCCATGTACACCCTTTGAGCACAACTCATTCATCAAACTATTCATGCCATTACGTAACCCTTATTTAACAATCATTTATGACAACTCATCACTTTTGTTACTATCCTCTTATATGAACGTCCAATTGACCTGAACTTACTAATTGTATTTTCGTTTGACAAATTTAATGAATACACACACACACACAAAATAACCATATATATTTGCGATTGTACAGCTATGAAAATGAATTCGCCGAAAAGAGACTCTTCGCTGAATTACTTGTCTTCTGTCTACCAATGTTCGAATGGGAATTATTCATGGATTTCAATATCGTTAAAATCAATTTTGTGACTTGATTCTAGAGCGTGGATTTCTCGGTGGTCGTACAGATGTTCCATGGTGTTCATTTCTCCTGATTTTGATTTCTCAAGATGCTTGTCCAATGTATATCGCATCACAAACCAAGCCAGCATTTTATTTTGTCGACACAATTGGATAACGAATCTTTGGAGATTTGGTGACGGTGGTTTCACAGTGTATTTGATGTTTTGAAGAAAACTCTGATGTCGAGCTTATTGAGTATTCTTCTGATATCCTCGGACGTCTCTGCTCTATATGGAATGACAACTATTCAGGTCCATGTTTTCGGAATGCATTTTCGACCATATTTAATGTCAGTGCTGATTTTGTTGATGAAGTTCCTCGGATAGTTTTTTTGCTTGTGAGTCTCAGTAATGTTTAATATTTCTTCTTCTCTTTCTTCTTTCTCATCCGTTAACATCAAAGAGTGTGCTTGTCTAAGTAGATTTGAAACAACTCACACATCTGTGCTGGTGGGGTGTGATGATCCGAAGTCTAAATATTTATTGGAGAGGGTTTTCTTCCTGAATACAGATATATACTAAAATGTTCTTTTTCCCTCTTCTTAACTAGGCAGTCTAGAAATGGTACTTCACCGATGTCTGACTGTGCTTCCGAAGTGAACTGGATTTTGGGATATACATATTTTATTTTCTCCAGGAATGAATTGTGTAGATCTCGTTTTAGTACTACAAAAGTATCATCCACATATCTCAACCATATTTTAAGAGTGAGTATGCTTGAAAAGATATTATTTTCGAATTTATTCATGTAAAGGTAGGCGACTATTTGGGGAGACTGGTAAACCCATAGCAACACCATTTGTTGTCTATCTATATAAATTCCCTTTAAATATAGAATAATTACTTTACGAGACCAAATTTCATTGGGAAATACAAAACAAAACCTTTATTATAATGAATATATCATATACCCAATACCCAAATTTTTTTCAAACTGTTAAAAGTGAACAAGACATATAACCGAAAAATACTGCTGTTTTCAATTAGATCCCCTTTATCAGGCTTTACTCTAATTTACATAGATTTATATATAAAAATTTTTAACCAATGACGGTGATTTTGTGGATCAAATAATAATAATAATAATGTGGTTAATGTTTTGAACGTAGTTAGTAACGATGATTAAAGTGATAACAAAATATTGATAATAAGGTGTATGCAGGTGCCGATAAGAGGAATAACAAAGATAGTAACATGTGTATATGTAGACAATTCAATAAATAAACTAGGTCAAATCTTAAAAATTATGTAATACTAAAGATGAAGTGGATAGGTAATCAGAGTTTAAATAATTATCATAAAAGTAAGAAGGAAATGCAAAATAAGAAAGGGTGGAAGGTCTTTATCAGAATTCACCTAGGCAAGCAAGGAAGAGACAAAGGTAGAATAAACTTCTTTTGTATGCAAAGACACTAGATTGTTCTCTCGAATTAATTCCCATAGCTTCGGCTAAGTGTAAAAGACGGGTTCTGATTCCGTTCGAAAGGCTCGATGGAATGCGATAGATAACTTTGAAGGCACTATTTCTGTCCACTTGGTGATAGCTATCAATCAAATAAGACAAAGTAGAACTTCTTATAGATGTTATCTGACCTTTTCCAAACCATGATGGAAGATGCTCATTAATGCGTTTGTTAAGCTGTCTCGTTGTTCGCTCTATATAGTTCTTTCCACAGAAGCAACTAAATTTATCGATACACATAGAAGTGGTACAGTTAGGTAGCTTGTCTTTCCCTTGAGCAATCATAATTGACCGGCTGGAAAATGACAAACAAAGGGTGGCGGCAGTATAAGTCCGTTTTATCACTATCGTAATCTCAGATGTAAGACTTCGCTAGCCACGTCCCCACTAAAATGGTTTCGACAAATATATAACTTATTCAACCTTTCTTTAATTACAATGATTCCTAATCCTCTTTTATTTATCCCCACATTAATCTGAATAAATATACATAAATTAAAACAATCAGCGTAGTGAAAATGCATGCAAATTAAGAGGAAGGGAATACGTTTGTTATACAACATTCCTAAAGGCATCTACCTTAATATTACACATTCATTCATCCACCTATCTATACTACTAAAAGAAAAATCAATAAATATCGATCATAATATGCATCATGTGACTGGATGATTAAATGACTGGCTTGACTTGATTTCACTGGTCAAATCATGTTAAAAGGATAGAACAACACATAAATTTAACAAATCATGAAGTTTATCTAAGCATTTATTGAAACATTGAAAATGAATAATGGTGATATAAAATAAAATACACCGCAACTTGTAGAAAACATATATTTTTTAAAAATAAAATGGGCAATGGATTTAGTGTATTTTGTAATCAAATTGATGTTGAACCAAAGATAATTAAAATATTCCCTAAAAAAGTGAAATTCAATCCTAACAGACATGATCAATGTGTTCAATATGCGGAACCATTGAACAATGAACGTGACGGTGATGTGAATGATAATGAAAGTGATATTATCAATGATGATCGATGGAGAAATGATGTAAAAGACAGAATTAAAGGCTTTTATTATGATGAAGATTATTTGGATAAATTTAACGATGATGAATGTAAGTTTAAATATTTTTATTTCTTTTTTTTCTTTTTATGAGTTGATCACGGATTGATATCAGTTAGAGAACCATTGAAAACCTGGGAGTACTGAGCAGCTGTTTCATCCTAGTTTGTGAATCATCAGCAGTACGCACCCGGGTTCGAACCAAGACCTTCCGGTTACTAGGCAAGCTGGTTTGTGTACCATTCAGCCACTGGGACCCAATTTAATGGCCACTAATGAATTGTAACTTCCACCAATTCGTCGTGCATTTAGACCACCAACCAGTGTCGTCGGTGGGACATCCATCCTCACACGTGACATCTGGATGGACCTCACTGGTCACGGATTCTAACTTTTGCTCCTTCGATTGAGTTAGTGGAGTAACTTTAAAGTGACACTAAGCTAATATGTGGAAATTAAGATTGAGATTTGTTGGATTTTATCATGAGCTTCATCCATATGGGAGATCACTGAAAATCACAGAGCACTCAACACCTGTTTCGCCATACTTTGGAACTCTTCATCGGTTCGACCCCACTAAAGATGAAATCCTGAACCTTCAGGCTACGATACCAAGCTAGTTGGCTATTCAGCTACTTAGTCGACAATCCTGGTCTCGTAATCTACAGGTCCAGGATTTTATCTGTAGTAGATTTGTGGTCGCAAACCGATGAAGAGTCTCGAAATGGGACGAAAAAGGCGTTGGTTTGTGAAGAAATCTATCAAATGAATACAGTTTATGGAAAGGTTTGAATATAGGTTACCACGTCTCAATAATTCTCAGATAGACAGTTCACTGAAACTGCTCACTATCCGAGCACTGTCTGAATTCACATGTAGACATAATTCCTTGAACTGCAACTAAGGATCCAAAGGCTGTCTCTACATCTCTAAATTGAGACAAAACACAGGTGTTTAATAATAGTGATAATGAACCGTTGACTAGACCAACAAAAGGATTAACTGGTTTATTTGTATTCCGAAATGATTTCAACAGACTAGAGAAGACAGTTGATCATCACAGTCTATAAGAAGCGATTAATGAATATAAACGCAGCTTGTTCATTGAAGAATCTCATTTCTGCTGTACAATCGAATTTATATATAATTTTTCACAAAAATTGGGCAGTAATAAAAGAGATGAATTGAAATAAGTATAGTCGCTAACAATCATCAATACATAGTAGAAGTTGAATGAGGATGCCTGAGTTACGTAATGAGATGAATAAACTGATGAATGAAGAGTTGTAGTCAGGATACACGTAGAAATGAGTTACATTGTCATCCTACGTAAGAGTTACAATGAAACAGAGGAGTTAGGAAATAACAGGGCCATTACGATCACTTTACAATTGATTGAATAATCCCCTTTTGTATTGAGAGCTTCGACTTCTCAAATAGATTTAAATGCCTGTAAACGCAGTATTCTAAAGGAGGCGAAAGTACATCATGCTTTGGCAGGTTATTCTTCTTTGTGAAGATTACTTTGAACGAAGCGTTTGTTGAGAGAGAGAGAGAGAATGACTACTCTTCAATTATCTCCCTCATTACACAGCCACTACTGCCTTTATCCAATCATATGAGATAGTGTTCTTTTCGACCCTTTAGATAAGATACGCATCGATATAAGCATACAACTTTTCTTGTGTTAACTACAGAAGGTCAGTTGGGCTGACATTCTATCTAAGACTCTATGTTCCATGGTTTTGTGTAGACTTATCAGCCCCAAAGAGAAAAACCAAGAAAACTAGATAAATATTTTGGGCGAATTAGTCATATCCAGGTTCTGGAACGTAAGCATAATTGCTGGCATATAAAACCTGCTATATTTCTTGTTCTGATGGCTGTATTTGACTTCTTCGATCAACAGATCTTGTAGAATTGTCTGACAGTGACAGCTATACATTAATAGTTGGAGGCACTCGGCCACAGGAAGCCCTATCTGGCCTAGGTTTCATGCTAGTTGGCACTCACCAGTCAGTCAGCAAGGCGTATCTCCAACCTTGAAAGTACTCATGTCCTTTCTGAGATTCGAATCCGCGTCACCCAGTGAGTACTGCAGTCAGAGACTGAACTATTTGGGCTCGTGATTGACTTCCCGTCGGACTGTAGTGGATACTCTGATTAGACACTAGTAACTACTCTGTCATGTCTAGTCCTGTCTTTGGTGCAGACTGAATTCTATCAGTCAGGTTGGCAGCTAGCACAAAATCTAGGTCAGGTAGGGCTTCCTATAGCCGACTGCCTCTAATTATCTAATATTATCAAGTCAATGTACACCGTGATGCCAAGCTACCTAGAATGGTGGCCACATTGAAAACTTGACTGATAGAATTCAGTCTGCACCAAAACAAAAATGACTAGTCACATCAAACTAGTTACTAGCGTCCAATCAAAGTATCCACTACAGTCTTACATGAGTCATTTGCGAGCCCTGATAGCTTAGTGGTAATCTTTTTGACTGCAGTACTTATTGGGTGACATGGATTCGAGTCCCATAAAGGAACTTGAGTTCATATAAGGTCGCAGATACACCCTACTAACTGAATGGTCAGTGCCAGCTAGCACGAACCCTAGGTCAAAGGCTTCCTGTGGCCGATCGCCTCCAACCATCTAATACTGAAAGCTATATAATATGACAGTGTCCACAAATGTCAGTCAGGGATGCCCTTTATCTGCACTTTCATTTAATTTTGTCAAAGATATCCTGATGAACGTTACCGTGGCTCACTTCAATGTTTCAAGTAACTACATGGTAAGTTAAGAAAATCTTCTTAGTAAACGGAATGCAGATAATGTAGTCCTTCTAGGTCAAGATAATGTCGAAATGCACAATCCCTTCGAATATAATAAGGGAAATTCTGAGTATACTTAGCATAAAGCTTGCCCCTTGCCAAGATAAGATCGTATAGCAGCACCTGTCTGTACCAACTTATAGATTCATGATGAGTAGTGAGATAATTAAGTGTATTGACCACTTCATGTGTTTGAAAAGTTTCATGAGACATAATGGGCTGACTAATAACAAAATCTCAGATCAGATATATAGAAGGGTCCTATTGGCATTCGTCGTCTTACATTATCTTTGGTGCATGTATAACATCCGGCTGTCCATAAAGGGTGCGTATGATGTACAGAAGCCTACCACCTTCTACTTCACAAGTGTTCGATACGACTGTCGAAGGCAGATATTACGGAGGTATAAAGGCTTTTGACTATATGTAAGCAAATCAATATATAGTCATCAGTAATAAAACCAACTAGATGATGTGTTAGATGAGAAAGGCAAGCCAATGGGTGAGTTCTTGTAGCTAGAACATATATATTAATCCAGCTGAATTAATACTTTCCTTAACAAATGGCGTTGTTTAAATTGGGGTTAACTTTGAAGAGTGCTAAAAGCGGTTAAATGATAGTCTAGCAGAAATCCATATAGTCAACATCTGTTCATTTGAGAAACTAAAGAAAGATGTGAACCACCTGCTGAGGGTCATTGAGATGCTAAGAACTAACAGTTGAAGAATGTTCATGCTATAGCTGAAAACTTTTCCCAGTGAATAAAATCTATTCAATCCTTTTGATCATAGGAGTTTTGAAAATTCTCACTAACCCCATCTGATTATTCTGTCTGTTATGCGTAGCGATTCACTTTAATTTCAGCACATTTATGTTCATCTCTGAAGAATAACAACTTGAATTGATTTACTTTTGTGACAAATTCTAGGTTATTCATTCAACTCATTTCAGAGAACCACAGAGATATTTTAAAAGATGGGGTTGTTAGCCTCATGGCCAACCTTTCCTCCGTGCACATGGTCCGGAGATCGATTCCCGACCGACGCACTCCTTTACCTCACTAAGCCAGGAATAATACTGGTAAAGAGGAAAGGTTGGCCATGAGGCTAACAACCCATCCTTTAAAATTAAACACTGCTACAAAAACCACAGAGATAGGCAGTCAAGTGGTAAGTGGTCAGACAAATAAAACATACATGTGATTTCATGGTGATCTTATCGACAATGACAGTGGTTTAAACTGGTCACACCCTCTGGGTGCACTGTTGATAAACTCTGCTCCAAACCATTGAAACCGCCATCTGGTGTACATACCATTTCGTTTGAGCTGTCCAACAAGCACTACTAGGTTATTTCAGAGGTATAAGACTACTCATACTAACCAATCAGTATTACATATGACAGTGATAGTGAAGGCCTCAAGATTTTGTCAAGTATCGATTTGTTGGGATTTTGTTTGATTGGTTGGAAGATTTCATCATGAGTTGACACATCGGTTAGAAAACCATTGGAAAACCTACCAAGGAGTACTGAACAGCTGTTTCGTCTCTCCGGTCTGGGGCTCTTCATCGGTATGCACCCATTAGTGTTCGAACGGTTACAAGGTCGATGAGCTCATAAACCATTAAGCCACTGGGATCCAATTCAATGATTAGCCCTTGAATTCTCATTTCTACCAATTCATGAAATAGCGCGACTACTTAGTATTGATCATTGGATCGGTTTCCAGTGGCTTTAAGGTCTATTAGCTTGGTAGCTTTGTAACCAGAAGGGCCTGCAATTGAACCCCGGTGGATGCGTGCTGCTTAAGGGTCCTAAACTAGTTTCAAAATTTGTTATTAGTGTTTACCTAGTTTTCTGTCAAGACAAAAAAAGAAACTTTATTGTTACTTTCTCTTCGAAAAATTACAATTTCTTCATTTACAACCTTTTCCAGACATCGCCTCAATTTCAGATTATGGGTTATGTAGGGATTCTGATTAGTTCGATACAAATTTTGTCAAGAACCAATATACTGGTTAATAAATCATTCAAAAGCGAAGAAGCATTGGACACCAATCTCTTTATCAGTGCACACCAATGCCGCTCGCAGTTTTTATTGCTTTACATTTCCAGTGGAACATAGGACTTCAAGGGAGGGGCTTGAAGTTTTGGTAGCAGTGGTGTTTATTCTTATGTGATGGGGATGCTCGCCTCATGACCAACCTTCCCTCTTTA